AAACACCTTACTGAATCAAAATGCCCTACTGTACCTCAGATTAGAAAAACTTTTGTTTCATGCATGGTCAGTTTTACAGATCCTTTGTTGATCCATTTTGAGGAAAAAAAATGGGTTAAAACAACACGGTAACAACAGGTGAACCAAGAATACTGGACCAGAAACTGGAACCTCCTGGATGGATGGATGGATGGATGGATGGATGGATGGATGGATGGATGGATGGATGGATGGATGGATGGATGGATGGATGGATGGATGGATGGATGGATGGATGGATGAGAAGCTAGAGGTTTTCTCTCTTGTGCCTAATAGGTTTTCATTGTAATCACACTGGACCTGCAATGACAGGGCAGTGAAAAGAAACACAGTGCTGCCAGGATGAATCTGTGCTCTAAGCACTGCCACTGCTGGAGCTGTCAGAGTTAGCATTTCAATTGAATGCTTCAGGGTTTTGCTGCCACATATCTGCACTGAAGGAAGGAAAAGACAATGAATCAAGCTTTACACAAGAGTGGAAAAACAAATGAAGTTCAAAGATAAGGATGATGTCGACTCTTAAAACATCTGCCATATAATGAGAAAGGATTTTTCTGTTTAAAAGGAACCATTGTGTGTCTATGTTTTCTCTAGAGATGCTTTCTTTTTTATGAACAAACAAAGTACACTGTTTTTGTTGTTCCTCTGTGCATAAAAAAACAATTTGGCAAGAAAATTACCCTGGCTTAACTTCAGTCATGTCTGTGAATTAAAACATTGTGTGATAGTTGAAACAAAAGATGAGGAACACACCTTTATGTGGAGAGTCATTGTTTTTTGATAAAACTGCTCCAATAGCATTTGATGGTTGTGTTGCAAAATTATATCTATGTGTAAAAAAATGCAAACCCCTTAAGTGTTTATATTTTGTTAAAAAAAACCCAAAACATTTAAATGAATATCCATTTTACTAATTAAAGCCCTGAAAGAACTTTAGTGGAGGCCCACAACTTCCTAAAGGATGGGGTAAATGCAGAGGATATACAGTATTTTATTGGCTTCTACAAAGTTGCAAAGACAAATGAAAAGGCTTATCAGTTTACCATTTTTTTAGGGAGAAAATCTAATCAGCTCACATACAAAATGCTGTAGGTGTGAAAAAGCAGGGACATAATTGTGGCAGCATAATGCGTGAGAATGCTTTCTATACTATGCCAACACTAATACGTTTTGAAAAAGTGCCTGCCAGACTTGAGAGTTATGAGTAAGATTTAGCATTTGAGCTGGACTGGGACCCAGAATGTACAGGTAGAGGTTAAATACGATTGTTTTTATTTAAAAGCACATGTATGCGTTGGAGGGCTGCTCAGTGGAACAGTGGGTAGCAGCAAGAAGGTTCTGGGGTTGATTCCCGGCTCAAGGTCTTTCTGCATGGAGTTTGCATGTTCCCCATGTGCATGTGTGGGTTCTCTGTGGGTACTCTGGCTTCCTCCAACATGACTGTTAGGTTAATTGGCTTCTCTAAATTCTCCTTAGGTGTGAGTGGGTGCATGAATAGTTGTTTGTCCTTTTTGTCTCTGTGTTGCCCTACGATGGACTGGCGACCTGTCCAGGTACTCTGCCTCTCACCCATAGACAGTTGGCTGCAGCCCCCCTCGCGACCCCACTTGGGATAAGTGACGGAAAATGGATGGATGGATGTGCTGGAATGGGTAAATCAAAAGGTAAAGGTGAAAAGGCAAAGATTTCAGTTTGTACATTTCCAGATTGTCCATGCATACCCAGGAAAAAATTTAGCCATAATTGCTTTGAAATCTTGTTCTAAAAGTTTTGACCCTAAAGGCTAAATATAAATACAAATCATTCTGTTACTTTCTAAGCAAGACTTTGTAAATTAAAATGTTATTTTACTGTTTGTATCTTTTCTCTGTATGTGTTTGTGTTATTGCCGTTGCTGTCACTCTAGAGTCAAAAAGATCAGAGCAGCCTGGGAAATATTGCAACAACTTCTCAACTTTAATGTGCATTCCAATAGTTTAAGAAAATATTCATCCTGTGGATATTTTAGACAAGCAAAAGATGTGCACAATACCTTAAATTCTTAATGTTACATCATAAACATATGAATACAGCTACGCAGAATTCAAAGGCCAAAAAATTCTCATGCTTCAATAATCTAGTTAAATAATTTAGGATTACATTGCCTCAGCAGAGCACCAATAAGGGGATCAGCTCTCAGCCCATGAAATGCCCTCTGTTGTGTGGCACAAAGGCCATCTCAGTCGGTCATGTATTTGCAGTCTAGATAATCTCTGTGGCTGTCGCACCAGTCGCAGGCATGATTTCATGTCTGGGAAGAGATGTTAACAGCTAATAGGGCGGCTTAATCCACCTTCTGGGCTGAGCTTTCACGTTGACTAACACAATTTAAACAGAAACAATCACACTAATGCATAGGTTAGTGGTGAAGGACAAAGGTGAAAAGGGTACTAGATATAGAACAGTATCTGTTCTAATTCTTTCTCCCAATCTTTGGTACCAGTGTCACATGAGCTCTTATCTGTTTAAATTTAATGCAGACTAATTTCCTTTTCCATATTTTCTGCCTGCCAGATGCTGCTGTGTGTCACGTTCTGACTCTTTCGTTCCGCTTCCATCAGTATTCATCCAACACAACCTGCAACATTGGGGTTCCAACCTACACACGACAGTAAAGAGTAAGAGACATTACAATTCAGATTGAACTCTTTGGTAGATGGAGATAGATGCCTGAAAAAAAGAGATGTAACCAAGAGATAGATCAGAGGAGAGGATGGGGTGGAGGTTGGAGGCAGCCAACAAAGGTGAAGGTAAAATGAGACAAAACAGACAGAAAGTGTAGCCTCAGTCTGCCCTTTCTCCTTTGGGTCCTTACCCACATGTTCCCGTGAGAGAAAAGTGAGAGGGCTGAAGAGACTGTAAACTCAGAGGTAAAACGAGAGGTCAGACTATTAGGAGAGTAGAAGTGAAAGATGCAGAAAACCAGTAAACCTGCAGATGAGCTGAAAGAGGAAGATGGCAAGAGATCAACAGTTCTTGCAGTTCGAACAGGATTAGCAATTCTAGATTTGTACTGTGGTGGTTTTTCAATGGTAAAAAGTCAAAAAATCAGGACACCTTCAGTTGATCATCTGATTGCCCCAGGACGGGAGAAGAAGCATTTATTTTATAGATCAAATTGACATGCTGTCCTCAGTACACGTAACACAGCGCTGAACATCCGAACAGAAGATATCTGTCTTTTCTCTCTTGCAAGTTCTCGACTCACATACCAATCCACAGAGCATTTATAGTCTCATCTTTGCACTATGTGTACGCACATGCACAACGGAATATTGCCGACATCTTACTGGAATGCACGTGCGCAGATTTGCGTCAAAGTCACTGCGACCCTCAAGGAATGTTTATACGTGATGTTCTCTCTTTTGCCAAACCCCCTCATGCAGCCTAGGAGACCATGGTGTCACTGAGATTCAAAACTGACCTTTAAGCTTCGTTCCTGAGACAGTGTACAGCCATGCAACAAGTCTATATAAGGCAAATAGCCTGCTTCAACATTCCCCCTATGCTTCATTGTAGATGAAGTACTTTGTGGTGTTGCATGGTGATGTGAATACTACGCAACTAAGTGCACTTACGCGTGTGTGAAGTTCAAGTGAAAAAACGAAATCTTAGTGAGACAACCAAATCTTAGTGAGACCGACACTGTGTGGAATGGGTGTGAGTCGGGAAACATCACATAAAACGAAAATCAAATGAATAACATTGTTAAAACAAACCTAAAGTGAATAATAAAACAAAGTGAATATTACTGAACCTTCAAAGAAAGATCATCATTTTCCACATGGCCATGATTCGATTAGTATGGGATCGAAAACCCCTTGTTCGTCCTGTGGGCATCTTACTTTTTCATTTCATACTCATGTAAGAGGAAACTATCCCATCGACCCATGCTTCCCCCAAACATCCATCCTTCCTCCGGCGTCGGCCGTAGCACAAATCGCATCCTGACCATGCTACTCACGATGATCTGTGAAACCAACCCTGTTTGAACCATTCAACCCAATCTTGATATTACTTAATATGTGAAGGATAACTATTCAAAACATTTCAAATAACTCGAACTTAGTTATAGTGTATTGTAGTATATAAGGCTAGGTAAATGAAAGAAAAAGAAAAATTAAGTTGGTCAGTCAGTCAGCGGCCCATGTATGGTTTACAATGTGAAATAATAAAACAGTAATACAGGTTATAATGCAAAGCAATGGTATGTTACAATCATCAGGTTTATATTTACAGAATACAATAATAATCGATGCTTGTGTGGTCTTCTTTCCTGTTGAAAAAATCAAAAATATAGTTCTTTCACTTCAGGGCTCTGTCCTTGGCTTTTAAAGGCATGAACACAGGATCAACGGTTCCTGCCTTTCGTATTTTGCAGGCAGAAGTCGAAGGTTTGCAGTCTTATGCCTGGGGTCACCGGTCTTTACAATCCATCCCCTCAAAATGAGTAAGACAGAAAAACCACAATTAGTGTTCTTATCAGCAAATATCAATTAATCATAGAAAATATTATTCCAATCCTATTGTAGTACATAGTGTTTGACTTATCTAATTCAATTGGAGAGGGATCCCATTCCCCCCTGTGATGCTTTCATCACATCTGGTCCTCTCGGTCATCCATCTGCTATTCGTCCCTGTTGTTGCATTCTTTCGACGTGCAGCTAGAGTTCGCTGGTCCTCTTGTCCTTTCATTACTCTTTGATGTACCTCCCTTAATATTTGAGTTAAGTCAGTCTGCTCCTTGGTTGTCCTGGTCCCCTGGGCCTCGCATATCGTTCATGTGTCCATGGCTTATGTGGATCCAGAGTAAGGGCAGTCCTTGTCCCAGTGTCCTTAAATCTCACTATCAGATGTTATCCTGAGAGGAAAGAAAAAACTGACCAGTATCTTGAAACGAAATCTAGAGATGTAACACATCCTGTTTTTTTTTTTTTTTTTGTCATGAGTCCACTTTCTGTAATTAATGTTCAAATTAAAATAAGGGAACTTTTGATTGTTGCAGTAAAGTCCCATTTTGTCTTGATGTATCTTCTCTCTTATCTGCAATTATTAATATTTCCAAATATCCTCCAATAATCTGTAAAATTTAAATCTCAGAGAATTAACCTTTCTGATAATAATGAAATAAATCATGTAACACGCTTGTTGGACTTCAGATTGGACCTCAGGCCAAAACAACAAATAAAATGGTCTATCTTTTGTCGAATCATCTTACCTGTTTAAAGAAACATGAAATAAATTACAATCATCTTACCTTCCTAAGATAACAAAAACAGGAGAAAACTTTACTCAAAGAAAACGGCAGTCCAATCCTACTCTGCAATCGGTGTTACAGCTTAAAAATGTTCCACAATAATTTCAGGAATCTTGTAATTTAAATACTAGTTAACACAGCTAAGTGTGAGATAAATACAGTCAAAATTCATCACCTTTCCTATTCCTCTGTAAGGTCCTTCTCATCACAGAGTTCCTGGGTCCTTTTCCTCGAAATGCATCAATCCCCAATTATATGTTAATGACACAAGGAAAGAAAACAAAAAACATGAGTAAATAACAGTTTGAATTTACAATGCGACCCTTAAACAGGTTCCTCTTACATGGGAATTAGATTATGAAAGAAAAGACAAGAAATAATATAATCAAACCACTCTCAGCTCTCAGGTGTTCTTCTCAGGCTCCATAGCGTCCCGAGGCTCAGCCATTTTGTCACAGGGTGGAGGCATCATCTGGGGGCAATTTGGTGATCTTTGCCCTAAAAAATTTAAACATTGAAAATATTTTCTCTTATTATCTTAGCCGTCTGTTCCAATTTTATTAACCAGGGTTTTCATGCACAAGAGTAGTAAGAAGTAGTAAAAACTTTAGCAGTATAGTAATAATGAGAATATAAGCAAAAATCCTTTTTCCTCTGGAAGCAAGTTGAGTGCCATCCTATATTATTTGTAAAGACAATCTGCATTCTGACTTTCTGTGCTTTATAACAACATTTGTAAAGACATCTAGATCTAGGATTTATTGGACAGTTTATGCACTTGGTCACATAATCTTACATTTACATAATATTCCTGAATTCAAATCTTAAGGTGCTTTTCCAGTTGTAAAGCCTGTTTTTATTCAGTATTCTACTGTTAGAAATGTATTAAGAACATGTGTGACAATCTGCATTTCGTATTGGAGACAGAAATTATGTTTAACTTTTCATCTCATTTGTGTAAAGTCTGATTTCTAAATGAAACTAATCCTTGATCTTGCAAACTCTGCAGAGATAAATTTTTTACTTTTACTTATTTATAATGTTTATTCTGTTAAATATTAGTTGGCTCGGTACAGATAACCAGGAATGTAACCCTTTTAAGGTTGTACGTTTCGTCTTGGATATTCATAAACAAGTTAGTGTGTCCACTTTAACCTTAATCACTCCTTCAGTTCTCTGCCAAGCGTGTGCGGCAGTGCCCAGAAGTTGCTTAATCAGATTGGAATGCGAAGTGACTGTTTCCCGTCTCTCCATGAAAGAACCAAGAGGGAGAGACGGACAGAAAAAATGTCTTTCGAAACACAAAGATATTTGAGTAAGTATTAGCATACTTTATTCGGCTTTGAGCTAGAACTGTATTTAGTCTGTTTTAGCCTATAATCTGTTTTAAGTCTTTTGTCATCTGCATTTAGGATTCTGATCTGTCTCTATATTAATCTTTAGTGAAGTAAACAGTTTTCATTCTACGCTTCATGTAGAATCATCTAATGTAATCTAAAGCATAACTAACCTCTTACCTTTAGGATGTAAGAGTTTTATTCAAAATCCAAGTAACATTTTGTACAAAAACATTTCAAACATTATTCTCTATTTCTGTATCTTACTGAGTAAACACCTAGTCCTGATGCTGGGGGAGAGAAAAAGTCTAACTTAAATAAACATCCTGGATTATTATTGTGACACTAATCTGAATGTTGATTTCTTAGTTATACTTAAAGTTTTTCAGAGGTACATCTAGTGCATTATCTAAGGATTCATAGAATCTTTATTTTATGGAAATTCATTGTCTTTAAATACTGCATAGGCTCCTGCTGATTAAATGTTTATTTTATGTTGTAAACAGTCTTAATTTTAGTTTTCCTGATTCATTTACTTTTAGCAGCTTCTTTTGCATTCTCTAATATTTATATTCCATATAGTTTACATGTACACATGTTAATCTTACATTGTACTTTGTGCCCAGATAATCACTAGGAGGTTCTTGTTAAATGTTCTTATTTAATTAATTTGAATCATGACCTATTCTCACATAGGCACCTAATTTTCACGTGTCTCCATCTTCTGATTTAGTTCTTAATACTATAGACTGTTTGTTTTAAATCACTGAATTTGGGAGCAAATCTAAAGTATCAGCAGCTGAGCTCTGTGTAATATCCATTAATCGTTTTCCTACCTTACTATGACATTTGGCACAAACCGTGAGTCTTCCTTCAGAAAAGGTTTCAGGTTTAGCAGCGTCTGTGAAGAGAAACTTAAAGCAGAATAATTAGTACGTTGTTAATGCAGAATGTGCAATTAAAACCTGGTCCACATTGTGTCCTACATTAAGGAGGCTGAGCCTTTGTACTCAAAATAAAACTGGTCTGGAAATGTTTGATCTTTCCTATTCAAACCTTTGATCAATTAATTGGTGGCATTGGTGGTTCAGTGGTAGAATTCTCGCCTGCCACGCGGGAGGCCCGGGTTCGATTCCCGGCCAATGCACCAAATGTGGTGGTTTTTCAATGGTAAAAAGTCAAAAAATCAGGACACCTTCAGTTGATCATCTGATTGCCCCAGGACGGGAGAAGAAGCATTTATTTTATAGATCAAATTGACATGCTGTCCTCAGTACACGTAACACAGCGCTGAACATCCGAACAGAAGATATCTGTCTTTTCTCTCTTGCAAGTTCTCGACTCACATACCAATCCACAGAGCATTTATAGTCTCATCTTTGCACTATGTGTACGCACATGCACAACGGAATATTGCCGACATCTTACTGGAATGCACGTGCGCAGATTTGCGTCAAAGTCACTGCGACCCTCAAGGAATGTTTATACGTGATGTTCTCTCTTTTGCCAAACCCCCTCATGCAGCCTAGGAGACCATGGTGTTACTGAGATTAAAACTGACCTTTAAGCTTCGTTCCTGAGGCAGTGTACAGCCATGCAACAAGTCTATATAAGGCAAATAGCCTGCTTCAGCAGTACATCTTCATCTCTTGTACAACAAGACTTCAAACTTCTAATCTTCAAGATAAGAAAAAGCTGAAGATGAATAATAAAAAAAATATTGCATCCCAAAGAGATTTCCTCTTAAGGTTTTAAATTTTTTGTCTTGACTTAAAGCAAATATTTTTTTCCCCTTATACCTAAATGTTTTAGAAGAATTTTGTTAAATTGAACTATAATTTGACTGCGTTTTGTGCATTTGTAGGCAAAAATATTTTTAGTAGTTTCATGACAAATAAGAATAGCTTGATTATTTAACATGCTCTCAGGTATATGTTCATCCATCTCAATAAATAATAATATCATTTAAAAATTTTTTGATTTCAAGAGCAGAGTGGAAATTTTTAAATCACATCAACTCATTATGCAGAGGTTTAATAATTTGCCTAAATTGTAACAGGTTAAAATATTACGTTGGACAGCTGCTATTTCCAAAATCACTATTTACAAAGCTACAAACCATATCATTATTTGTTTTTAAGGGGTAATGGCTGGAAGGGGATATCATTGAGAGGTTCTTTTCTTTAAGTAATTTAGGTCAAAACGGGAAGACAATTTATTGCATATATCCTTTACACGCAGTGATATATATTCATAGTTTTTATTTCTGTTACTTTTAATGACTGTGACCCATAGCTAATGTAAAATACAGTTCAAATATTTAATCAAAATAATGTTAGCCCATGAAGAATTCTTTATATAGCGTACAGAATAAAAACTCAATACTTTAATGAATCTCCTTTGGCATCAAATATTACACAAATACTGCAGGTTCAGACCAGAAGCAAACTCATCCTTGCAGGATTACTTCCAGTCTATGCAGTTTAACCAATTCCCAACAACAGCAATCACAATCAGCGGTACCACCAAGACAGTTATCAGCCACCCACTCAATCCAGCTTTGACTGATTGAATCTGTGAACGTGCACATATAAAGTGGTGGGTTCATTGTAGCAGACCAGTCACAACTTTGCAGGTGATGAAGCAGACAGATGAAGTTTTGTCAGTCTCTCTCTTCTGTCTCTCTTTCTTTCAATTGTTTTCCCCTTTTTCTTCTTCTAAGTTTCCAAAGTAGAGTCAACATAACATGAATTTTTCACTATGGAAACAATGCTCAACTTGTGATAGTAAATTCTTTTGGGGTCTTTCTGGCCTTAAAGGTATAGCGGAGAATTTTCTTTTTTCGGTTGGATCATCAAAATAAGTGATCCTTCTAATTGTCAATCATTCTGGTGATATATTTACGTAAGGCCGTCCTACATGCTCATCCCCATTTTCACTTACCAATGTTGAGCATGACATAGAGCAAAAATTGCAAATCTTCATCTAGAAAGTAAGCCTTTATGAGCCATGCAAACAGCAACTTTTAAACAGAGTGTGCATGGGGAGAAATGGGCTTCTGCATGTTCTCGCACAAGGTTAATATGCATTCCCTCTCGGGAGCAGGTACAGGGTTGTGCATGTGCAGTGTTTTTTTTTAAAGTAGAGAGGGCGGGTCTTTTCAAAAACTAAAATCCTCTGCTACACCTTTAGGACAAAAATTGTTATTGCCACATTGCTAGAAAGGACACTATTAAGAATAAAAATAAAAGAGCGCAAAAGGGAGAGCTTCATATTTCTCCTGTATGGAACAAAACCTCATCTTTCAGAAGTACAAAGAAAGAAAAGGTCTCAATAAAAAGGTAAAGACAGTGGTGGCATGAAAGAGACGTAATAGGGTGGCAAAGGACTGCTGACTTTTTACCTGGTGGTTTACCATTAATCCCCCATCGGTGCAGTTTCAGTCTAACATTCACCCTTCTCATTTACTGTATGCTGTTACGGCAATATATGCCAACTTATAAATGTAATAGCATGATTTTCATAATGCAATGAATTTCAAATTTCCTAGAAATCCAGGCATGGTCTGCGATGGCATAAAATCCTTCTTTTATATGGTGTTCAGACAAGATGCCAGGAGATATGATGAATTCATTCAGTAACTTCATAACTGGACCTTTGATGGACAGCTTTACAGACTGTATTTTTCCTGAGCTGCTCAGCATCCCTGATAGTGTGCATCAAGCTGCCTATTCCATAATACTGTATCAAATCACCCATGCAGTCTTCAATACAGAGGGGTCCCCACTCCTGCCGGTCCAGCCACTAAAAAAACTGTCTCACTTATACCATCATAGTGATCCAAAGGATCTTCTCATAATACTGATTATTATTATTTATTTTATTATTTAGCTTCATTCATTAATTAGAAAAGAAAAAAGTGAATATTATTGGTGAATGAGGAAATTACCCAGGACAAAACATATAGATTAGTAAAAGGTTGAAATATCAGGAGGTAAGGGAAGAAAAGGAAAAATAAACTGAAAAATATAAAATTTGTCAGAATATATTTTGTTTGACAAGTTATTTGGTTTTCAAGTTATTTTATTGTGATGTTTTGTTGAAGTTAACTCAATAGCTTCTTCAATGAAAGAGCACTTCCTTGTTTTTTGAAAAGCTGATTGGCTGCTAGTTGGAATGTTTTCTACAATTCAGATCAATCCTGAAAGCTATTCTGCTATGAAGGAGGTTTATTTTTTGGAGTACATTACCATGGTTACCAGCCTCCCCAAGAAAGAATCCAGCTTTGTGGTAATGGAAAGTCTGGGTTGAGGCTGAAGTTGTCTCGCTAACCCAATAATCCGGCCTGTTGCAGTGTCTGGGTCTAGGTTCTGGACAGAATTTAGTTCATGCCATTTTGCAAAATAATTAAGTTCTTCTATACCATTGTCAATAACTCGTATGTTAGTAATTTTTATTGTAGTTTGCCAAGCTGGACAATGAAATGAGAAATTCCATAGGGAAGCTTAAAATGCTTTTAAATTTCTGGGTAGATGGCCGCCCAAGCTTTGAACCAGATAAAACAGTAAACAAACACCAACAGATGGCATGGCTCCCAGAATCAGCTCTTACTATAGAAACTTCTCACTGAATTCAATGGAACATGGATTTGAAGTTTTTAAGTCTCTAGTCCTTAAAATTGCAAAATTTTGCTCAATTTCAAAAGAGTTTTGACCACAGAGGAAAAGTCAATAACTTATTCTCTGTATCCACGGTAGGACACTTCTGACTCCCTCAGCTTCAGCAATGCTTTAGCAATGTTAAAGATGAGGCAAATACACTCCTGACCCAGTTCAGATA